TTTCTCTCGAGCAACTCTTCAATTATGGACATGCTCCTGTCTTCCGCTTCCGGTGTTGATGAGTTACGGATAGCTCGAGAGAATTGGTTCTCCTCTTCATGGATGCTCTTGAGCAGAAGACTCTCTCGACAGCTACAGTGACACCAGATCTCTACAAACGATAATTATACTAGTCGACGACTGCATACTACTGTGGTCTGTGGAGACATGGCTGGAAAGGTTTAACAGCACTCCTAGATCACTTCAACGGACAGCACACTACTATCAAATTCACAATGGAACACTCGGTCAACGAAACAGTCAGTGAACTTCCTAGATCTAGCGCTGTCTGTGCGTGGATACAGCATAGAGTGGGAGCTCTATGTCCCACAGTGGTGTCCACCTGTCTTATGAATCATGTCTCCCCGGCCTGGTCGTGTAAAAGAGCTGTTGCAACGAACCAATTCTCTCGAGCTATCCGTAACTCATCAACACCGGAAGCGGAAGACAGGAGCATGTCCATAATTGAAGAGTTGCTCGAGAGAAATGACTATCCACGCACCGAGATAAACGCAGCACGACGAGCAGCCAAGGGGAAGATACAAGATACACACCCGTCTCAACAACAGCAGCGTGACAGCAAGCGCAGACACAACCAATTCAAGTCGGTCATCAAACTGCCCTTCATCAACGACTCACTTGCCGCTCGTGTCTCACGACGTGTTCGAAAGTTCAGTCCGCATGTTCGTGTTGTCTTTGTGTCTGGTCCTTCTTTGAAGGATATGTTGGTCCGATCGTTGAGTGCTGTACGTGTGTGTCCCCGTGAGAAGTAGCGATCGGAGGTGAAGAGAGGGAGAGGTCGACCAATGGAGTGTCGTGCATGTGATGCGAGTATGGTGGATAGTCAGTGTCTAGTCAAAGGTGTTGTCTATTGTATGTCTTGCACGTTGTGTGCGGAATTGTACGTTGGTGAGACCGAGCGGCCGGTGAGGGACCGATTCGCTGAGCACTACCGAGAGGCAAGGGCGATGGCGGCGAAGGCTCCCTGGGGCTTCCACTATCGTACCCAGCATCGAGAATCTTCTAAGTCTTCCAACTACATGTAGGTCACCTTACAGGTGGTGATGATTGTAAACTTTAGTGTTAGTGTTAGTTTTCTTGCCTTCTTGCCAAATTGTGTCTGTGTGTATGTGTGAGAGGCTCATCTTTCGTTCTGTTTAGGTCACCTTACAAGTGATGATTGTTTACGTTTAGTTTGCTGGCCTTGCCAATTGTGTCACCACGATGTGTTAGTTCTCTTCTAGAACATTCATCTGCCTGCATCAAGTTATTCGTCTTTTAATATTTCGTGTTTTTGCCTCCCCTTCCTCAATGCCCTGATGATGCCCAATGGGCGAAATATTGGCAAAGTTATTTTATTTGTGATTCTGTAGTTTTGCTTATTGCACTGCAGTCACCATGGTCACGCTCCCAGACTCACCAGCTCAGGAGTACATAACCATGATAACCCCGGGGTTATGATTGTACTCTTGGTCACAGCAAGAGTACAGTCTGTCAGTCAAGACTCAAGAGTACATAACCCTTGGCCCCGGGGGGGGGTTATGACATTAACCCTTGGCCCCGGGGGGGTTATGACATTATGTTCTCTTGGTACAGTCATATGGGGGGGGGGGGTTATGTTCTTCTCTTGCCATCAAGAGTACATAACCCCCCTTGTCAAGAGTCCATAACCCCCTGGGTTATGGACTCTTGCCCTTGTTGATTATACTTATTTATAGTAAGTAGTCTTGGTCATCGAGTTCGACTTCGAGTGACTGATGACGTGACTCTGATGACGTACGTTCTGCCACCCACTTTACTACGTCATCACAATGACGTAACTTAAATCGTCTTTTTGAAAAGCACAACAATAGACCGATCCCCTTATTATTGTCTGGGTTCGAGCAAGGGGGCAACTCCGCAGTCGCGTGGGATCCTGCTGCACACACGCGACCAACCTCACCGCGACTGTGCGTGACTTCTCGCATGCGAAGTGCAGAGCACACGAGATCTACATGCAGTGCAAGCCTCTCTACAAAAAAATGCCACAAGGACTTTTGATTTGAGCTGTTTTGTTTTTGTTTAGACGTCTTCCTTTTTACGACTTCAGGATGCCTTCTCAGAACATTGCTGCGTTCCTCACTGTCAGAACAGGAGGACGAAGCAAACAAGCCATTTCACTCCTTTCCTCGTGTGGAGCCACAGCGGCCTGGAGAAAGCGGATCCAGGCTATTCCCCGTGAGGAAGGACGTAGTTTTAGGGTCACTCTGAATATTTGAGTTGCAGCGATCATTTCGATCCCGAAATCGAAATCGTTTTGCCCAGCTCTACAAGGACAGGATGAGTCCAGGAAACCAAACAGCTGTCCTACAGTACCAGGTTTGCTTTTCGCAAGAGAGTGGAGTCTGGACGCCCTGCTCCCCATGATCGCAAAACAGTATTTGCTGAGCCTAGTGCATTTCGGTCATGGAAGTGCAGCGTCTGGATCAGCCATCACGAGCTCCCCATGCTCGCAAACCAGTATTTTGCTGAGAGGCAACGGCACTTTGAGTTGGAAAGGAACCTGGCTTAGTGCAGTTTGGTCCTGTAATGGAAGTGCAGCATCTGCATCAGGAGTTGGCAGCAAGTAGAGCTCGTGTACAGAGTCTCGTGGAGCAGTTGGACGATGTGAGGACTAGGGTGAAGAAAGCCGAAAAACAGCTTACGTACAATAACATAAAGAAAGACTCTGAGCCGCTCCAGTTTCTGACTGGTTTGCCTTCAGGTGTTTGGACCGCTCTGTGGGACTTCTTTGAGCCTAGCCGAGAAAATGTACTGCGCCGCGCCAGATCTGCGAAGACGGAAGCTGAGGGACGGCGGATACAGTTGGAGGTGGCCGTAAATCGCCAATGAGCATGTAATGGAGGATCAGCTGCTATTGGCATTGATGTGTGTAAGCCTGGGCCGAATGGAACAGAAGCTGGCATGCGTGGCACAAGTTAACCATCCGTTTCACGGTATATAGCTAGCTGAGCTGGAAAGATGTCTTGTTTCTCCGTTTGGGCATGATCCTCATCTGGGTGAGCTGGCGAGATGTTCAGTCATCAATGCCATGTACCGCAAGACATTCTGCAATGGGGATGAAACAGTTCTATTTTGCCATGCACTTAGGGTTCTCGCACCGGCACGGCACAGCACAACAAGACCCAACAGATCCTTGCGCTCTTATTTTCTCCCACTGTAAACTTTGCTGATCACAACACCCGGTAGCCAGTCGCAGATGCAACCAAATCAACCAGGTTCTTTTTTTCCAATACGGAAACCAAAAGTATACCAATATTTACATCGAATGCAGTGATGATTTCGATACTGTTCACTAGCACAACGCATTACCAGACTGGCATATAATCATGATAATATTATCCATTTCTCAATCTCTGTCATTGCTTTCTTAGATCTCCAATCATCGATATCGGACCATAAACAGTCTACTAGTATCATCTTATATTATTTCATCATTAGTATCCTGCTACTATCCTCCTCTAACGATGAGCTTGAAGAAACGAAACAGCTGTCTAGAGGCGTAAATAATATCTGTCAACGGAAGTGTCCTTGCTGTGCTGGTGTGTTTATGCTTCGTGCATTAGTTCGGCCAAGAGCGCATGGTGGTGGCGGGTTGAGGATGTAGTACAGCGGAGTATGACCGAAAGCTCTGTCACGATGTATATTATTAGGAAGGTATAGAAACGGAAAAAAACTGTATCTTCATCTTGGGCGTAAACAGCCCGTCTCACATTAAATATACTAGAAAATAGTCCACTCTGAACATGCAGTCTTCCTAAGAGAGAGAGGGGGGGGGGGGGGGGGGGGTGGGTATATTCATAGGTTCGAAAGAACCGCACACACTTTGCTGCAGACAGCGGCAAGCTTTGGCCCTCGTGCTTCGAAGAGGGAGCATTCCACTGCGCTACGCTTGCGATTAACAGCAAGCTTCAACTTTTCAAAGGTACGACTCATCACTGGCTCTGGGGTAATGTTCCTGGAACAAATGCCCCATTGCCGACTGAGGGCCAGGGAGCACGCAATCTGCCTTCCTGGGCGAGAAGTGTTCCAGCACAAGAAGCAGCACGAATACATGCTGACAAAGACCACCATCACCACCAGCCGGCACACAGCACACTGTTCTTCAAACACCATCCACTCCGTCCATGTGTTTGCACTGTCCTCCTCTAGCTCTTCACGCTCAACAAATACCACGCACTGCTCATCTTTTTTTTTGCTTCCTCTGGGTTGGCTAGCCCTTCGACTTGACAAAACAGCGATCACCACTGCACTGCTATCGTCACCTCATAGCAGTCGCTTCCACCAGTGGCTTTGCCTGTCTTTGCAAGGTGTCCAAGGATGGCTGCTGTTGTCACTACAGGCAAATCAGAAGTACTTTAGTGGCTGATGTCCAACCAGATCGTTGGAAAATCGATTTTTCCACTTCAGGGCTGCTGATCGCGATCGCGACTTGGTGACTTGGCAGCACCTCGGTTACCTTCATAGAAGATGGCTCTGGAGAGGAAAAGGCAGACCAGAAAAAGGTTACTATTGTCTTCAGCACCGATCTCAACGCCTAGGCACAAAATATATCTCAAAACACGATTCACGATTCGAATATTTCAACAACAAAAAAAACTCACCTCTGGAGTAACTCCTGTTTGTGGCCCGAGATCGTTCCGTCCCGCGCCTTGAAAAAATCCTACAGCTGCATCACAGTCCATGTCTCTCTCGGAGACTCTGCTCCTACCAGCAGGAGGTTCAGCACCGCTCGAAGCCATCACAAACTACTTGAACTAAGCAGAAGACATTCCAAAACAAACCTGAAACACACTGTCAAAGATGCTGTCACGTTCAAAAACTAGCTCGATCGCGAGTGAGGTTGCCCCCGTGCTCGAACCCAGTATAATAAGGGGATCGGTCTATTGAAAAGCTGTCATCTGAAAAGTGGGAGCGCTATGTTCGTGACCAATGAATTTTTGTTGTTGCATGTTTGCTTTCAGACAGTTTTTGAACGGCTCTTATCTCTTGTGAGGGACATGAGCTCTCTCCTATGGCAATGGTCTCATGCACACGGGTGTCCTCAGCGGCTTAGGTGATATTATGTTAGCAGTGTTTCAGTTGGTGACGGTGGAAAATAAGTTCTGAGTATCAACGCCAGCGCGAGCGACGCCTGTCATTTCCTCATCTCCACCGAGCACCCACAACCTCTCCTATTTTCTAATAGCTCATCTACTTGTGGCACTGGTTCAGTCATGGCTTCAGCCAGCATACATCCGTCCGTTAGCATGGAATCGCAGGAGAAGTATCACTTCATGTACAGTCATTTGGTGGATGACTTTGTTCGGGTGAAGATGTACGTAGCATTCGTTTTGTGTCTAAAACTAATTTTATAAAACTTTCACTGTGTATGGATATGTGCATGTACCGCTGTTGTCTTGCGTTTAGTTTCATGATTTTCGTATTGTTCTGTACGTAATAGTGCGGATAACTAGGAAACCCTAGATTTGACACCTTTGGTGGCTTTCCTGGTGTCCTAATGCTCGATATGTGTGTATGTGGGTGTGCGCGCGTGTGTCTGTGTATGTGTGTGTGTGTGGTGTTCATGTGTGAGTGTGTGTGTGTGTGTGTGGTTTTCATGTGTGTGTGTGTGTGTGTGTGTGTGTGTGTGTGTGTGTGTGTGTGTGTGTGTGTGTGTGTGTGTGTGTGTGTGTGTGTGCGTGCGTGTGGTGTTCATGTATGTGTGTGTGTGTGTGTGTGTGTGTGTGTGTGTGTGTGTGTGTGTGTGTGTGTGTGTGTGTGTGTGTGCATGGTGTGTGTCTGTCTGTGTGGGCACATGCATGTGTGTGTGTGTGTGTGTGTGTGTGTGTGTGTGTGTGCGTGTGCATGTGCGCAATGTACTATGATGCAGTGGCAGCCTTCAAGGCAAGCGGCGTGAGCAGTCATTCACAAATTTGGTAGGAGACGACGTACTATTGTTCAGCCGGCAAAATGACAAGTAAGATCTTAGGATGTTATCGGCACACTACTCCCACCTACGTGAACACACACATGCACATACACACACACTCACATGGACGCGCAGCGAAGGTCCCTGGTTCGAATCCTGGTGGTGACAAATGCCACATTGCGAACTCCGAATTAACGCGTTTTTGCTTCTGTTGCACTTTTGCCTATTGTCCTGGACTTGTGTACCTTTGTGCCATTTTCTGTCCCAACATCTTGTTTCTCGTTTCTGTACGCTATTTCTGGTGCTAGAAATCACACGGGCACAGCATTCCCCCCTTCCATAGCCTCTCCCTTACCATACCCCCTTCATTCCTGGTGATGTTATGCTGACCGAAACGTCAAACTAGTAGTAACTCTCTTTGTGAAATACAGCTGTTGAGTGTTAACCAGTGTCACTAGATACCCTAAGCAAACCGTACGGCAAAAAATGCCGAGATTTGGGTTCGACCTTTAGCAAGATGCATGCTATTTTTTTGTACTCCTTTGCCATGAGAATGACTTTTATTTTGCATGGTACAACCATTTATGGCTCCGTAAAGTCCATATACGCGATACTAGTGCATGGTGAATGGGTCCGCAGTATTTGGCCAAAAAACGTACCGTTTGTCACAACGATCAGTCAGCCCCCATAACGGTTTTACTCTGCGGCTTCAACGCTATAATTATGGGTATATGGGTACGAGTATTGTAAAAAAAATCGGAGTTACCGTTGTTTGCTAAGGGTGTCTACTTACAAGTCACAACTGTAATAGATTCTATTCAAGCCGTGAGAAGCGTCATTCATCAAACTTTTGAATTCTTCTCCCTCTTATTAAGTGGAAAGCTGACAGGCAAATTCTTCTCTCGCTGATCGTACAGTACTGTTCTCGTTGTTCCGTTTGTGCACGTGTAGCGAATGTCCGGACTACTACGTGACTGTGCAGATCTTTGCCGACAAGCGTGCACTGGCGCTGCCCACCTATACCTCCTACAAGGCCTTCTCAACGCGATGGAAGTGAGTCTGCGCGCGCACACACACACACACACACACACACACACGCACGCACGCACCATGTACCATGCATACGCCCGTCGCAAGAGAAGCACGCAAATCTGCAAATGCACTGGATGTGCACCCACAGATTTTCTCTTTATAGCAACGATAGCACACACACACACACACACACACACACACACACACACACACACACACACACACACACACACACACACACACACACACACACACACACACACACACACACACACACACACACACACACACACACACACACACACACACACACACACACACACACACACACACACACACACACACACACACACACACACACACACACACACACACACACACACACACACACACACACACACACACACACACACACACACACACACACACACACACACACACACACACACACACACACACACACACACACACACACACACACACACACCCACCCACCCACACACACACACACACACACACACACACACACACACACACACACACACACACACACACACACACACACACACAGTCGAGTCTCTTCAGGACGTACGCCGCGGGCCCGATGATATTTGTTCGCAACAGCAGGAGTTCTTCTGATCCCTATTGTATACCCAGTGAAATCAGTAAAACCTGTGACTAACGACCACCCCTTGGGGCCGGAGAAAGCGGTCTTTAGCGGCAGGTGGTCCTCAGAGGTTGCACCGCACAACCATATACTGTATGAATGTGAGACCGTCCGTGCCTGGCGAAGTGGTCTGTAGTATCAGGCTGGTCGCTAGTCCCGGTGGTCTGTAGTACCAGGGTTTTTTTTTTTACTATACACAGTGATTTCTCCAATAGAGTTTTGAATGTTAGTTCTTCTAAAATGGAAGTTTGTCTTATCAGTGTTCTTCTTAACAAGAGTTCACTGTTCTCTAGAGAGGACACCAGTTAGCAATGGACCGAGGCTGAAGTAGGTTGTTACTCAGCGTTTAATGGCTATCCACCAATCCTCAGATCCGGAGGATCTGAGGGTTGGTGGATAGCTGTGAAACTCTGCGTAGTAGCATACTTCAGCCTCGTTCCATTGCTACCCTGTGTCCTTTGGCTCTGTCCTCGTGGTATTCAGCACGTTTTGCAAGCATTTAGCAACAAAGCCTGTACGACAGGGAGTATCATGAGTTTCTGTACCGCATGACCGAGAGGTTTTGTTGTAATTTTCAGCTAGGTCTTTCAAACCTTCAGGAATTTTCTTGATACCGTTGACCCTTTCTCTTCTCTTCACCATTCTGCTCGTACCTTTTTTCTTTCCCCCGGGAATCAAAGTTTTGATTTCAGTCGAGTTTTGCTTGTATTCTTCATGTGTGCTGCAACATCTTGTTCTGCTTCTGTAGCTGGAACGAATGGTTGACACTACCTGTCCGCTACTCAGACCTGCCGCCCACGTCTATTGTAAGCCATAGTGGCCCAGCTCTGTTTCTCTTTTAGTACTGTAAACTGTGATATTATTGCGATGGTCTAATTTCTGCGAAATTCGCGACCGTGTGGAAATCGCGAAATTTAGACAGCGCGAAAAGGAGATCATGAAAGGTTTAGCAAGAATGCCATTCTGCAATCGCAAAATTAAAACCTCGCAAACCTGTCCGGATTCTGAAAATGCGAACTAAAAACGCCGCGAAAATTTCACGCTTTACAGTATATCAACAAGAGTACTACTGGATGTCTACAAATTTTCGGCCCATTCTATCTCCCAGGCCTAAAACCCATTTCGGCCCCATTACATTTTCACCCTGTACTGCTGCGACATCATGGATTTCTAACATTAAAAGCTGGACGGGTCTTCCCTTGCATGCTCTCTCTCTCATGCAGCACACGATAGAGTTGGATTCAGAGACATCATTCACAATTCTCTCGCTGATTAATGCCTCTACGATCACCTTGTGATTATGAGTTATACATACATACATACATACATACATACATACATACATACATACATACATACATACATACATACATACATACATACATACATACATACATACATACATACATACATACATACATACATACATACATACATACATACATACATACATACATACATACATACATACATACATACATACATACATACATACATACACACATACATACATACATACATACATACATACATACATACATACATACATACATACATACATACATACATACATACATACTGCTGCTGCCTGTATGCACTGTCACACTGAACCTTGCGAAACAAAATTTCGCCCGCAGCAAATTTTCGGCCAAGTATGACCAGGCCGAAGATAGCCGAAAATAGATACCGGTATGCGCCGAATATAGATACCGGTATGCGCCGAATATAGATACCGGTATGCGCCGAATATAGATACCGGTATGCGCCGAATATAGATACCGGTATGCGCCGAATATTTGTTCACTAACAGTACATATTCCGAGAGTGCCCATGTGTGTTCTGAAAACTTTTTGATAGACTTCCAGTCACACGGGAGCTTTCCTTTTATCCAGTGTTCGAGGAGGGTGAAGTGTGGTCATCCCATATGGTCTAGTGGTTAGGATTTCTGGTTTTCACCCAGACGGCCCGGGTTCAATTCCCGGTGTGGGAACACCGAACTTTTTTCTTCTTCTTTTTCTTGTTTTGATTTTGGCAAATGATGTGTTTGTGAAGGCAGAGTGAATGCCCACACTGGGTGCTTGCAGGACATTACGTATTTATATTTCTCTTTGTTGTAACTTAGTAGTAGTTTTCGTATCTGTGTTTTCTTCTGTGCAGCTGGCCTTCACAATATGGGATACTGTTGGACCGTCAAAAGTCGTAGCAGTTGGCAGTACATCGATCAGCATGTTCAACAAACACCGGTGCGTTGCCACCTCCGTTGCTGCTGCTGCTGCTGCCGCCGCTGGTGCTGCTGCTATTCATGCTGGTGCTATACCGTGTTTTGTGGAATGCACAAACCAATGATAATGTGAATGCAGGAAGGACAACACTGCTACTACTGCTGGCTGCAAGTGTTGATCACTGCTGACACTAACACCATTGATGCTGTCACCGATGTCATCAGTACCATTGCTACCACTACTGCTGGTGCTGCTGGTGCCGCTAATGGCAATGTTGCATTGTCTATGTTCAATCTAGAGCCATAGTATACACGTATACATGTATGTATTGAGGTCTCCATGGCGTATTTGTTTTGATCATGTGGCCACACGGTGCATCGAAAACAGAATAGAGACTGTATCAAATTCAATGATGCATTGAGCGTGACACACAGCACTCCACAGTAGCTTTTTGGAAAACCCTATGCCGTTTGTGACCCATCTGAAATCGACCTTGAATGTTTCTTGTCTCGTGCTGTCTTTTCTCTTTGATGTTGTATGGGTGTGAGTGAGCGTGCGTGTGAGCGTGTGTGTGTATGTGTGGGTGTGTATGTGTGGGTGTATGTGTGTGTTTGTATGTGCGTGTGTATGTGTGTGTGTATGTGTGTGTGTATGTGTGTGTGTATGTGTGTGTGTATGTGTGTCCGTGGCCGTGTATGTGTGTATGTGATTGTAGTGTGCTTCGCAAGGGAACAGAGGACCTGATTGTGTGGCCAGATGTTGCAGTCACGACTGACAATGTGGACAAGCTCTCCGGCTCTATCAAGGCAACCAAGGGCAAACTAGCTGAGCTCACCAAGGTATGTGGACAGTAGACAGTTAGTTACTGCACCATGACTGTGTTGCACGCAGTGTGCGTGTGAACGTGCGTGTGTGTGCGTGTGTGTGTGTATGCACATATGCGTGAGCGCGTGTGTGTGTATGCACATGTGTGTGAGCGCGAGCGCGTGTGTGTGTGTGTGTGTGGAGAGGGTGCGTGCATGCGTGTGTGATTTCCGACAAACACACATGATTCAGCCATTGTGCTGAGAGTTCTGAACACCGCGATAGCAGAGCGTAGTGCACAGTCAGTTTACCACTGAACCGAGGTTCTGCTGTTCCGAGGTTCTGCTGTTGCAACTCTCATTACTACCTGATGATTGCTCCGCGAGCTTAAAACTCAAAGTTGCATTAACATAGCCATGATTTACCGTTGTCCTATAAGATCTGTGCCATACTCACTTTCTAGCCCTATTGTCACGGGCCTCACAGGCGCAGAGAAAGGATCATAGGACACTGGTGTAGCAATCTCCATGTCCTGCTGTTGTCTGCTGTAGTCTGCTGTTGTTTGTTGCTTTCTACTGTCTGCTGCTGTCTGCTCGTGTCTGCTATTGCCCTGCTGCTGTCTGCTATTGAAGAAGACCATGTTGTGACTGGTGCCGAGTCCTTTGAACTCATTTCTATCAGCGCCTTGCTTGTGTCTGCTGTTCACACAGCTCATGAAGCAGCACCGGAAAAAGCAAATGCCGCGTGTGGACTGGCTGGATCGCTTGGCTTTCCGAGAGCTGCAGCAGCAGATTGAGGTAAGGGAGACCCAGGGCAGAGTGGTGTTATGTTCCGCTAGTACAGTGACACCTGGCTAAGACCGCCGCTTAAAAAAAAGCACAGTTTGCGTTGTACTCGGTTAGGGTGAGTTCGTTTATTCTTCTGTCTCTCCTAGAAAAGTCTGCTAGGAAGAGAAGAGATGAGATTGTTTTTCCAACGGGTCAGAAGAGATGCAGGATTTTCCCAGTGCGTCACGGCAAACAGGAAATGTTTTTGAGGACGCGTTTATTTCCATATTTTTTGCGAAAAAGACACCCAAAGTCCTTTCTGTGCATGCGCAAGTGACAGAAACGTGGGAATCTTCCACTTTCTTCCACCTCCGGAAGAGCCAGCAGAGTTTGGCAGAGGATAGGTGAACGCTCTTCCAAATTTTGGAGATTCTGGCAGAGGATTAGGGAACGCGCCCTTAGACTGAGTTTTCCGCATCCGTAGGAACGCCACCACCCTCAAGTATCAAGGGCAAAGATGCAGCTCCTATAGCGGTGGTTGGTGAGTACTCGTAGATCAGACCCATCACCAAGTTAATGGGACGTTCCGAATGTGATCTCCATGTACAAGTGGTCACTTGACTGGAAAAGCTGGAAAAACATACCTTCCCCAAGTTGTAGTGGTGTGTGTGTGTGTGTGTGTGTGTGTGTGTGTGTGTGTGTGTGTGTGTGTGCAAAAAATTTTCGCGGAGAGGAAGCAGATTTGTTAGCTCCTGGTTTTCTCTTTGTTGGCCTCCTCCACGGGGCGGCCTTGGCCTTCTGGTCAGGGTCGTCCCTGGGTATTGACTGGCAGTAGGCTTTTCATGCCTTGCAGCCGGTTTCGCTCGCGCGGAAGGGCATTCAGTGAGCTGACGACCAGGGCGGGTAATTTGTTGCCGTCACTGTCTTCTTGCGTCCTTTCCGCATCCTCCGCAGTGGCGTGGCGAGCCCTCGGATCAATCCCCAGCCTGAAACAATGCAGTGGCGTTCGGCAAAACAAGTGGATTCCTGGATGAAAAAGGATACAGGTCACACTCGCAACAATTTATTCCTGCGCGGTGATAGCTGGAATTGTGAATTTGTCGTGTTGTTTGGACCTGAGTGGCCAGTCGTCGTGCGGCGATGGTGTTGTGATGTTAGCTTGCTGCGCATACTCCTCGTCGTTTCGTGAAAGTACGTCTTGTGGAGCCCTTGTGGGACGTTCGGTGCCCACCCTCCAGCTCAAGATTGTGCTTTCCTGGTGCATGAAGGCCGAAGCAGTACAGACGTTATTGTTGAACAGGACATCATGTTCACATTAATATTGTTCCTTTCTTCAGTCGTTGCATGTTATAGTGGACCTACAGCAGACTGTTCATCTGGTTTGTGATATTTCCTTCCTCTGTTTGTGAGTCCCTTTCCATCAATATGGCAGCTTGTTTTGATTTCCTTTTTTTCAATTCATTTTGCTGTACTTTCTGTTTTGTTTGCGCCACTGCCTCTCACCTTGCGCTCAGTTCTCTGAGTGGAGGGCGGCGTGACCCCAAGGGGTAGCTGATTGATAGTAGTAGTAGTAGTGTGTGTGTGTGTGTGTGTGTGTGTGTGTGTGTGTGTGTGTGTGTGTGTGTGTGTGTGTGTGTGTGTGTGTCCCATATGATGCAGTGGTATGTGCAGTCGATTTCCAATCGAGAGGTTGCGGGTTCAATTCCCGACGATTATGGTCGCACACGTCTTTCTTCTCTTTCTCATTTTCCTAGCTCTTCTTTCATTCTCCTGGGTGGTTACCAACGGCCAGTGTATGCCGGAGTATGTGGTGTGGCATGTGTGTGTGTGTGTAAAAAAAGAAAAGGAATGAAAAAATGGAAAAAAAAGAAAGAAAGAAATGAATAATAGGGATTCACTGGCCAGAAAAAGTCACTTCAATCAGCTGTGTGGTGGATACCAGGCTAAAATTAGTGGCGGTCAATTCATCAGCCTTGCAAGCTGTTGAATGGTGTAATCCCAGCACAAGTTGCTATGTCTAACATAGCTGTTCGCTATCATCGCTTCCGCGATGGGCAGGTCTGAGGTCTGAGGTGTGTGTGCGTGCGTGTGTGTGTGTGTGTGCATGCTTTTGTGTGTGCGCTCATGTGTGCACGCGTGTGTTTGGTGTATCTGTTCGATTCAACAGAAGGAGAAGAAAGACTCGAAGGAGATGTTCCTTCAGATTGAGTTTCCGATCTTCGACTGCCAAGACCCTGGCTTTGAAAACTTAGAGTATGATGTTGTCTACTTTGAGAAGGTGAGTTTTGACGGCTTCTTCTTCTTGGGAGATTTAACAAAATCACGCTTCGCGTTAGACTCGGCCTTCAGCCGAGTTTTCCGCATCCGCAGGAACGCCACCACTCTCTGTGGATCAAGGTGGGAGATGAGCACTGTAGACCAGACCCACCACAAAATGGTCAAAGACCGCAAATCCCAGTCGCTGCATCCATGCATCTTGGGAGATACTCTGGAGCATAGTCTTCAAGGAACACAGATAGGTTACAGTTGCACACAATGAAATTAAAATTGGGGTCCCCGGAGTTTTTCGTACTGTTCCAGTGGTCCAAAGGTCGAACACAATGTGGCTATTTTGCCCAACGTTCCTATGTTCGATCCTCGATATCGCAAGGAACGGATATGGGGACTCCAAATTTAGTTGCAGATTCAGAATCAGCATGCTTTTCTCTGTTAGCCCACCAAAAATGAGCAGATTCTTTATAAGTAGTACAATAGCGGAGACTGGTGCTACATTTGTATTAGGTGTTGGTGCATGACAACTTTGACAAGGTGAGATGTGAATGTGGGAATGGTACCACCCAACCCCAGCAAGTAACGATGGGAAGTGGACGAAAACCTTGACTAGGCTAGATAACAGAGCCTTGTAACTTGTAAGGCAGTTGTCCTCTTCAACTTGTAAGGCAGTTGTCCTCTTCAAGAATATCACTGAGCGAGAAGTGGAGTTACGAAAGTGACGTTCTCTCACGAGAGAGCCTCCGTGTGTAGTTCCAGCTCCGAACCATTTTTTTGGATTCTTGTGTCTAGCATAGCTTACATCGACTACACCATGTCACACGTCACCACTGTTGCACTCTGTGGCCGACCACACGCACACACACCCACACACACACACACACCCACACACACACACACACACACACACACACACACACGCACGCACACACTGTACTGTACTGTACTTGTTGCTCACTGCCAAACCTGGTCACGTGGGTCTCCCCGGAAGAGGGGAGAGAGACTCAAAAGGAATCTTGGATAGATGACTCAATTGGTTATTGAACCGCCCAACGGCCGACACCCCCTGAAATCCCCAAAACTCTGGGTGGACTTGAAAATAATCCCACTTATGGGCTCACCACACCTCAGTAAGTGGGTGAGGACAAGGTGCAGAAAAAGGATTGACGGCATCAGGTATCCGTCCCGGGATCCAACTGCAGTTGCCCCTGCCCCCAGTGAAGGTAATATGTGCTACTAATGTGAGTG